ATGTTTTGGGCAGCATACACTTTTCCAGTAGTTACATAAAAACAATTTTAAGGAATTCTATATAAATTTAATATAGGTCACAAGATATTTAATGAAATACGAGGTTCGATCAATAAGTACCCGTGTTAGGAATGAATTCGCAAATTTTTTATTCTTTTTTTTTATCATTTTTCAACGTAATCTCCTTTTATAGTCGGAGAGCTGAAGTCGAAAAACTGCTTTGATCTTTGATATGGACAAAAACAATTTTTTATATGAAAATTTTATGTTTATTGGAAGAAAATTTAATAACAATTTATAACTAAAGTTTGTATATCCTAGATATACAGGGTGTCCCAATAGTGTGTGGAAGTTCGATATATCCTATATTATAGAAAATATCAAACAATGTTATTTACAAAAGTTGTAGATAATATTAATCTGTACAAACGAACGTAAAATTAGAGTACGTTTTAGTAGTGATATGAAATACAGGGTGTTACATTTAAAAAAAAATTGAGAAAATCATGTATCTGAATTTTGACTTACCCTGTACACGTCTGTTGCGCTAGGAAAAAATTAGTATATTCTTATAAAAGTAGACTATCATTAAAAATGATTCATCAAAAAATTTTGATGTTCGATTGTTTCTTTTGAAATATACAGAGGGTTGAACCTAGTACGATTTTCATATAAAATTGGTTTAAACTTCCAAAATACCCAGTATAACCTCATACATGTTGGTATTTTCTTGAAGGGCAAAGTCAGGGGAATTCAAATGTACAATTAAATACAGGGTGGTCCATTTAAAAAAAAACAAAGGTTTTATCAATTCTGAAGTTATGGATCACTCTGTATAATCGAAAATAATTTAGAAATGTGCAGATTAATATTATCTACAACTTTTGTAAATAACATTGTTTGATATTTTCTGTAATATAGGATATATCGAACTTCCATTCACTATTGGGACACCCTGTATAATACTTATAATATTGAGTCTTCAAATTAATTTAACCTAATACTACATAATTTCACCAATCATTTAACCACTTACTGCATACTGTTTCCAATTTTAAATATTACTTTCTATAATGTAATTTAATTCCACTATTTCGAAGATATCAGCTGCAAGAAACGTCTTGAACCTCCCGGTATTTAAAACATACACTACATAAAGAAATTCTTATCAAAATATAACTAACGACTCTTTAACAAGATATAATCATGAATTTAAGGTTGCATTTAATGATTTTCATTGCTTTCAGCTTGAAGCCCCACAAGTTAATTGATAATTGATACGTTTGAAGCTGCTAGCTACCAAATTACTTTTCTGGATAGCGAATTGCTTCTAAGCAAAAAAGTATAGAAAAGCGGTAGTACAGTTTAATTAAAAATGTACCAATCGGGGTCATTGTGATTACTAATACGAGGAGCATGAATGAGAAATATTTAAAATTTTCAATAAATTTTTTTTTTGAATTAAGTGAATACATTAAAGATTCCTTTATAGGTATTAAAATGAATAATATTAAAATTTTACTTCGAATGAAAATTAATGTTGACTAGAATTACGTCGCTGAAGGTGCCATTTATACACAGGGTGTTAGTAGAGCCCTCATTAATTGATGAATTTTGGTATAAGAATATGAACCTATATACAAGGTGTTAAAGTTTTAAATCAAAATTAAACATTTTCCATAAATCAAAAACGTCTTTAAATATTTTTTCAAATTTGATATACCAAGATCGTGTCTATACACGGACTATTAAAAATTTGACACGTGCTTACTAGATTAGAAGTTATTAATATTGAGTCGTTACAAATTTTTTAAGTACATGCATATTTTTGTTTAGAAGAAGATTTATGCAACATCGCTCATTTTAAGTAAAAATAAACAGATTATTAAAAAAAAAAATAAAAAAATTAAAAACAAGTGTTTGTACTACTAACCTTGATAGCGCGCCACTGGTTAATTTTTTCAAAAGTTAGTTTGTGTCAAAATATTACTATCTTAAAAAGCATATTGGTCACATAATTTGAAAAAAATATTTATAGGGGTTTTTAATTTATGGCAAATTTTGATAAATTTATTTGTCAAATTAGAGATTTTCTATGAATTCCTGTAATTGTGTAGTTCATCTATTTTTAAGAAGATGACATCATAAAAAACAATGTAGCTACTCTGTTTTAGAAATGGTTTTAATAGGTGAATGATTGTTTAGAGGTACCAATTTTTGAATCAGTGATACAGCTGTATGCCGTCTTTTATTGTTTCGTGATTTTCATATATATTTGTCTCGCTTTGTTCCGACTACAAAATTATCGATTTATTTTCCCTGTGTATGAACAAGTGTTGGCCACGTTGCCAGATTTTCGATTTATACGATAATTTCACAATTCTTTCTAGGACGAATTTCATTTTAAAGTGGGTGAAATATACAATGGTGAAATGCAGGAAAGGGAAGGAATTTTATTACATTCCGATCTAATTTGAATCCGAATGACCTGGCATCACTGTATGATACGCACGTAATATTTACGGACTTGGCTTTCTTCTTCTGAATGTTATTTTATCTTTATAAGGAATCTTATTTCTGAGTTAACACGTTGACTGCTATGTGTATATCCCATTAGTGCGTAATTGTTCAATATTTTAATTTGTGTTAAAGACACGCAAACATGTTTCTAAGAAAAGTTATATGGATTTGAAAAATAGATATTTTTAAAATATTTTTGGATATACAAGGGTGTTACATTTTTCCCTGGCATATTTTTAAAGTATTTTATTTCAATTTTAGAATGGTTGGTAATACTGTATTCAACCCTAGAATAATTTAAAAAATTATTACAGGTCTGCCAAGCAATTCATTTTTTATGAAATTAGAGAATGATGCAGACCCCAAATTAAATTATCATAATTTAGGTAGGATTACATTGATTTCAAAATTGTTTAATATACTGACTTATAGCACATTAAGATAACGAATAGTAGTGATAGTGCTGGATTTTTTTGTAGCGAGTGTTTTGAAACATGTCTTAAATATGGTTACTTTTAAGTTCAAATTACTCAACTTTTTCAAAGACAGCACCCGGTATAATATTTTAGCATCCTTATAAATTTGCATATCCAACGATACCAACATGTTAAAGAATAACATATATACAGAGTGTCCCATCAGTGCGCAATTGATCGAAAGCTGTTTTATTATTGGAAATAAGAAAAAAAAATTAATATAAAAGTTGTATGACCGTATTTAAAATGTATTCCTTTATATACAGGGTGTTCCATAAACGAGATGTTGACCAAACCTATACATTTTTAAAGCAAAACACCCTGCAGGTGGTTATACATATTTGATTGTTTTCACGGCGTCAAATAATTTTAATTGACTTTATTCATTTGCTATGTTATATACAGGGTGTGTCAACACGCGAGGTTACAAATGTTTAAATTTTTTTCAATGGAATACCCTGTATTAATTAATTGGTGGCATAACATACAGGGTGCATTTAGAAAATTGAGAAAATCGTAACCATTTTGACACACCCTATATACAACAAAGCAAATGAATGAAATTGAAATTATTGGTCGACGATGTAAAAACAATCAAATATGTATAACTACCTGCAGGGTGTTTTGCTTTAAAAATGTATAGGTTTGGTCAGACAATCGTTTATGGATCACCCTGTATATTTATGAATAATTGTTAAATATGGTCATAGAACTTTTATATTAATTTTTTTCGTATTTCCTATTATAAAACTGCTATCGATCAATTATGAACTCATGGGACACCCTGTATATGTGTTAGTGACTAACATATTGGTATCGTTGGATATGTAAATTTATAAGGAATTGTATGCTTAAATAATATACAGGGTGTGGCATTTGAAAAAAATTAAATAAATTTAACTTGGAATTAGCCATATTTAAGACTTGTTTTTCAAAACACTGTGTAAAATATTCCAGTTCTATCACCACTATTCGATAGCTTAGTATCTTATTACTACATTTTAAAAAAAATTGAAATCATTGTAAACCTACCTAAATTATGATAATTTAATTTGGGGTCTGCATCATTCTCTAATTTGTCATATGTCATAAGTTGCATACACACAGTATATCTATGTAAGTTGACAGCATATAGAAAACTTTTTTATTATTTATTTTACGAAAAAAAGTTATTTTTCATGAAAATTTATGCATGGTCTAACAGAAAATGCAACCACTCGATAGCAAATGTTATCAGTCGGTTTTACAAGGTTTGTCAAAAAATATGATTTTGCTCAAGATAAAATACCTTTATTTTCGACAAACCCTGTGTACGACTGATAAAATTTGATATCAGATGATTGAATTTTAGATTTTAGACCATGCATAACTTTTTATGTAAAGTAACTCTTTTTTCTAAAATTAATAGACCATGCACTTGTTTATGAAAAATGTCTTTTTCTTAAAATTCTTATAAAAGTTTTCAGTATGCCGCCAACTTACATATAAATGAGATTAAATTTTTTGAAAATAATTTTTACTGATGCAGATCTAAATAAAGTATTGTGGGTAAATAAGGTAATAACACTTTTTTATGTAATTTTCGCAATAACTTATTTGATTAGGAATATTTACAATGGTTACCGGCTTTTATATAGTTATTAAAGCGACAACTTTGAGATAAATTGAATCTAGAAGTGAATACAAATTTCGCGCGTTATGTTTTCATCGATTTTCCGTCGAACATACATACTTTTAATGAGAATCAACACCACATCGGCAGGTTAAAATTCAAAATAAATGTGCTTATATTTTATTGAATTTGGTTGAAAATAGCTTTTGGTTGTGTGGGCACAAATCAGCTGATGGGTGCTGAAGCCGTTTGGTTAAGTTTAGCGCGAATCTATGTATAGATAGATATTTTTGTTTGTTTATGTCTATAATTAACATTAAAAATTGTTCGGGGCATTGCTGTGTGCAACTTGGTCAGGTCAAAAATACTCAAAAAGCTGTGCTATGAGAGTACTGAAATAAAACTTGTATTTTGAGCGTTGATGAGGAGATCTGGTATGGTTAGTGGGACTCGGTCCGTCGTTGAATATCGGTGTAAATTTTTTGATTTTGGGCCGCGAAATTTCGAAAGGCTCCTCAAAAATGGCCGAAATGACATTTTTGATTTTTCGAAACTACGACGCGAGTGTATCTATCAGCGCGATTCAAGTGTTTAGACGACATTCAACCAAAATGAAGGCAGTGGGACTGGCACTCCCACAAATAGTCCGGGCGCTTGAACGAGTTAAAGTTTCAATAACACCAATATATGGCTTATTAGCTTAACTGAATAAATTAAGGATTTTGTTCTTGTTAATACCAGGTAAATCTCACAATATTAAAGACTACATCATTTTCAATTTTTTATTAATAAATAAACTAATCTGTAATGATAATAATATTATTATTTATTGATCCTTAAAGACAGAAATGTATAATAGGACATGGTACATTTTAAACTTACATAAAGGGTTGCAAAAAAGTCTAGCAACAAGATATTTTGTTTGAAACGAATGAATATATAATTATTATAAAATTGTTTAGAGAAAATGCCAAATTTATGTGGCGTTAGCGTTTAGCGTACCACTGCCATCTTGAATTTTGTTAAATGGTAACGTAGGTCGAGTGATATATCAGAGAAAAGCTTATTTTTTCATCTATTCAAAATACTAAAAAAATACCACATTACTATTGTAATACAGTCCCATTCATCACCCTAAAATACCTTGTTGCTAAACTTTTTCGCTACCCTGTATGTATAGGATCAGAAAAAATATTAATAATATAATATAATCCCATTTGTTGTCACCTTACAATTTCATAATTTTACATTCATTCGTTTCAAAGAAAATATCTTGGTTACAGACTTTTTCGCCACCCCGTATATATTCATTCACTATTTATGTAAGACCCAGACGGCTGTAATAGTAAAAAGTGGCACTTCGTATTTTTTGCTTGCTATTTGTAGTCGGGTACAGGGGACGAAGTGAACAACATGTACTATTTCCCGGTAGTGGGAGCTGGTCTTTCAAATTCAAAGCAAAGTTGCTTATCGATGAATTTTTCGTTTTTTACGGAAAACGAAATGTATGCTTCTAAACGTCTAGAACAATAACAAAATCAAGCATTTTCTGTCGTCCGATTTTGCTACTTCCGGTGTAGGAGTTTCGATCCCGTGACGATATTTACGTTTCCAACAAAATTCTAGATATATGTTAAACGCGTTTTTTCTTAATATAAGATGTGTCGGTCAAAGAATTGATTGGCAAAAACAGAATTAGCAACCTGGCGAAAGTGACCTGTTTTTAAAATCGAAACAAAAATGTATGACTTTCAAATAAAAGTATTGCCCTTTTTATTCTGTAGTTTTACCCCTTTTAGCGTTTCAAAATAGTCTTATTTATGACGAATATGGTAAAATTACTTTACTGAGGATTTGTCCACTAATATTCGTAGATATGGTTGTTTACGATCTCACTATGAAACCAAATCACGAATATAGATTATCTCCCATTATAATTTGAACGATGTTATAAATATTAGCGTTCCATCATAATCAGTGGATTACACATCCCGACTAAAATAATTTTAATGAGATTTTTTTTTTAATTTGTCATCTTGCCATTGAAACTGGTCTCCTGTACTAACCAGAGATGAAGCTAATAGGTCAGTTAATCTTTATAGTGGCTTTCCACAAAGAGTAATATTTCTCTTTATCCGGTGACAGGTTCTGTAGGTATGATATTGTCACAAGCAGTGGCGGCTTGTAGTAATTTAAAATGGGTTTTCACTTTTTCCAATAATTTTATCATTTGTAAGTTCGGATCAAAACTTTGTACAAGAGTCAATATCACTGATTTTTTTATTATTTGAGTTTGTATTAAGTGCAGTTATCATTATCAACATCATACTGTTTTCAAGCACTACAACTATTAATAAATGAATATTTTAGTTAGTGTAATATTTGTTGTTTTTAATTTTTTTGAAAACCATCTATAAACATTATTAGTTAGTAAACTGACTTTTCTTCATAATTTGAGATTATTTTTAATATATCAGGTTATGTAGAAAGCTTGACATTGATTTTTGTGTAAAAAATTTTATATGAAACTTTACCTACCATTTTTTAGTTTTTATTGTAAGTTTAATCATTTTCACAATTTGTCAAATAAAAAATATATTTTTTTAAATACCTTTTATTGGCAAATAAAATAAGAACTAATGTTTTAAATGTTTATTTTATAAGATCAGTCTCATCACAATACACAATATTACACAGACACAAACTAGAATAAAGATATATAATGCCTGGCATTCTAAATGATACTCTTCGCAGTTTAACAGAGCCCCTTAACCCCCATTTTCAAACAGATTGTTTTCACACTCAATAGGCCTCAACTCCTTATAGAGCTTGATTTTTATTAAAAATTTCATGTTGATATCGCTTTTCATTTTTGATTTTTTTTTTAATTTCAACCCCCCTTAAATCTCCCATATTAAATAAGATTTTTTTTTATAATTAAAGGGCTTCTCCTTTTAGACATTGATGTTTGCTAAACATTTCAAGTTTATATCATTTTTCGTTTTTCAGTTAGAATTTTTTTTAATATTTTAACCCCCCTTAACTCCCCAATATATTCATATTTTTTTCAGTATCAATAGGCGTTATCTTCTTATAAAGCTTCATATTTACTAAAAATTTCATGTTGATATCGCTTTTCGTTTTTAATTTAGGGTTTTTTTTTTAATTTCAACCCATCTTAACCCCCTATTTTTAATCAGATTTGTTAAAAATCAATAGGCTTTGTCCCCTTTTAGAGCTTGATTTTTGCTTAAAATTTTCAAGTTGATATCATTTCTCGTTTTTTACTTATCGTGCAGACAAAAAACGTGACATCGGACAGACAGACAAAGTAAACCTCTAATACTGTTCACAGAATACTGTATGAAGAGTAGAAAAAAAAAATGTATGAGGTAAAATAAACAATTTAAAAAGGTCAACAATAATATTCAACTTCTTTTATCAAAGGACACTAAAAGTTTGAAATAGCAGCACATAATTGAACACAGAAATCTGTGAACTAAACTAGTGAGGTTACATATCATTAAATGTTATCACATTTATTTCTCCATATGACCCTTTCTAAGTGTATTTCACAGCACATTCCAAAGTATTCTTGCTTTCACTAATGTCCTACCCTCATGGCTGCTTTTGCATGTCCAAGTTTACTAAAAAATAATGTGTTTTAATAAATAATAGAATAATAGTAATTTTGTTTAAATAGGTAAATCGGCTTCATCTGTAATTTCAAATTATTGTTTAATTGTAGATATTAATGTTTTGATATGTACTTATAAAATTGATTAGCCAGAGCATATAGATATGTCGGATGTGACTTGTTAAGTGCCTAATCAAAATCACAATTTATGTTTGATACTTATTTCGAGACTTTTTCAAGACATTCTTTATTACCAACTGTAAACTAATTTACCAATAGCCTTATTTTTATTTAATACTTGTAGTGATTCAAATTACCATAACATTTAATATTTTTGAAAATACTAAATTATACAAACAAGGCAATAAAAAAAATGTCATTAAAATAAAAGATGTCTTGTTTGTATGCAACAAACGATCTTGGTTAGAGGGTAACACGATTAATAATTGCAAACATAACTTTATATAGGTAAACTATTTAAATGTACGTACCATTTCTTAGGTAAAATTTCTCATCGAGTATATTAAATTAACTGGTTAATCCATTTTTCAGATTCAGACTTTTAAAGTGATAAACCATTTGTCTCTTTATCTTTATCAAATTTTTATTGTCCATTTCCATAATACAAAACTAAATTATCTCTAATATTTTCTTGTTATGATACATTTTAGGTAATTTTCAGAATTTAAAACCAATTCCAGGTAGTAATGACCTATCAAAACTGAATTATCTCTCTAATAATTGCTTGTTATGATACACCAATATTTTTTTTATTTTCTTGACCTTTTTTTCGGTGCGCCTATGGAATACAAGTAATAACTAAAAGACGAGGTCATAGCTCGTCGGCATCAACTACAAAGGAATTAAATGAGAGATATCCTTCTGGTTATTATTTATTCTTGTGATATTGTGTTTTACCCTTAGTTGGTTCAAAGTACCCACTAACCTTGCACAATTTTAACCAAGTGTACGTCGTCACGTACATCTCGAGAATGTGTCGATTTGACAACATTCCGAGAAATGGATTTATTATATGGGATGATAAAGAATTTTTAAATTCCTATACTAATCCCGTGATTACGTCGAAAAAATCGAAAACAAAAACTAAACATCTCTTTTCTGATTGAAACAGATTGGTTAGTAGAATTTTGTTTTACTCTGCCTACGCAATTTATTGTAGCGTTCACATGTATGAAGCATGTTTTTATAGAATATGGCACAATATTAAATTAATTAAGGGGCACAATAATAAAGCCATAACAAATACCGGTGCACGTGATTACTTTATCCCAATGTGATTTCTTTAATGTCACGTGATACACTATTTTGAAGATGTCAAAGGGAATAGGACTGTCGAGGAATTTCATAACAATAATATTATGTAAGCAGTGTGTTTTTGATTGGTGTTTATCGACCTCCTATTTTATTTACCTAACTTCAGTTGGGGGTGGCAGTGGGTCAAAAGAAAAGATAATTAAATATTTATTTTCTATTATAATTAATATTATCAACTTTAAAAATGTATCAACACCTTCGTCTTCTTTTCCTAGGTCATATTACTTCAGTCAAAAATAATTCAAAAGCATAAAAGTACACTATTTATTGGTTTGTATCATAAAATTTGTAAATTTTTTATACTTACCTTACTTACTTACCTCTCAATTTCATTAGGGTCGATTGACCGACACCAGCTTGACTGACAGACCAATTGACCGATAGGACAATTGACCACAATATTTAAAAAGGGCAATAAGACAACACTTTTGCAAAAGTTGTAGAGAAAGCACTAAATTTAAAATTACAAGAATACCTTAATAAATATAAAATAATTTTTACAAAACAATTTGGATTTCGAGAGGGATTTTCTACAACTGATGCAATTCTAGAGTTGACCAAAAGGGTTTATCAGTCGGTGGACAGTAATAAACCAAACCTAACTATTTTCCTGGAAGCCAAGGCCTTCGATACTGTACATCACGAACAGTTATTGCTGGCCTTGGAAGATGCAGGAATACGGGGAACGGCATTAAAGCTTTTTGAAGACTATCTTAATAACCGATATCAACAAGTTAAAGTAAAAGATGAGTTTAGGGAAAGCAAATTGATTAAATCTGGTGTACCACAAGGGACAGTCCTTGGTCCTGTACTATTTTCAATATATGTAAATGAATTGTTTATTCAAAAGATTACAGGCTAAATTGTAAGCTTTGCTGATGACACGGCTATTTTTTACGAAGCAGATACCGAAGAATTAAAATATAAAACAGAAAATGACTTTAAAAAAAATAGATTGGTGCACTCATAAAAAGCTTACTATAAACTACAATAAATCATTTTTTTTTGCCTTTTGCAAGCTATAGTAACAGCTTACCAGATTATAATAAAATTGGTATCAATTATAACAATCAGGAAATTATCTTACAAAAACAAAATAAAATTAAATACTTAGGTGTTACATGGTTCTGGTGTAGGATTGGAAACAGCGTGTCCTTTAACCACAAAATTACTTGTAAATGAATGCATGCGCCTAATACAGACAGTACAATTAACTGACAAGACATTTTACCGACACCGACAGGATAATTGACAGATAGGCCAATTTACCGACATGGCAATTTACAGACAGACCTATTCACCAACAAGAAAATTTAATGGCAGGTTAATTCTCAACTAATCCTCAGCTTGTTCTACTTCTTCTTCATTTGACAAGTGACGCAAACGTGATCATTTTTGAGGTTAAAACATGTCTGAAGAATAGCTTCGTAAAAATCTTTCAAATAGTGTGGTATTTTGTAAAAATTTTAGTGTGTTTTTGTACCAATATTTTACCTGTTTGTGATGTCCCGTATATTATTTCGCAACATCAATCACTATCAATCTCACTGACTTGTAAGTATAATTTTTTAAATTGTAAATTTTCATTTTCACATCTATATAATGAGAGTTCCAGTCAACTTGATTTTGTTAAAATATAAGTTACTGTCAATAATTATAATTTACACCCTAACATGACTTAAAAAAAATATGTTGATATTAACAGAAATTTTGCGATATTATATTATTCTTTGTCATCATTAATAAGAATAAACTGATATAAGGTTCCACAAGGTTATCTTAAGCAGCAGAACAACTATTTCGTAAACTAAATGAATACATAAAAAATATTTAATAATTTAAAATAATTTATTTTAAACAGATGTTATTATGCATTGCAAATTTTGATTATATGGTTTAGTGAGTAAAAATATATCGTTCGAAAATGTAGTCGCATCACCAGAGTAGGATTTACAGTTCCACCATTACAATATTTTTTCGCCAACTCTTTTATAAACTTATAAACCACCAGTTGGGAAACGCTGCTGTAGATCTTAAAACATGCAACATTTCATTACAGTTGTTGCAATTTCCTACTTCCAACTGAATTTGATTTTTGTTAAATATTCTATCAATTTCTTTTATCGATCTCGTTGACAGAATCCATTTCCTTCAAATATAGCGAGTTTGAATTGAAATACAAATCTGAATTTTTGAATCAATGGATTAAATGTAAATAAATCAGGAATCAATCCTTGCACAGTAAAATAATATTAAGTACAGATTTTTTATAATTTTTTTGTCACTAAATAAATATCTTAGTATTAATTTGTTAAAGTTTAATAAGTCTAAAAGATATTCTATGAGATATTTTCTCCTTGGGGTTGAAAAACACCCTATTTGATCTTGCAAGTCGTTCTCTTTTAGACATGTTAAAAGTGGTATTTGTACTTGATTTATGCTAGAAAAAAATATGTTTTTATGTCTAGGAGCGGAGATATTTGATTCCTATTGCGACGATAGTCTAATTTATTTAAAACACACTATTTACAATTTATTTATGACGTTTAATTTATATAATACTTAGACACTAACTAACAATTCTAATTTATTTATTACAATTAAACTTTTCATTCCAATACTCTCTACTAACCTAAACTGCTCGACAATGAGTCGGGCTATTTATACCAAGTCCAACTCTGCTACGAGAAGTCTCCAGACTCTCCCGAAAATTCCATCTCTGACTCAACGGCACACTCCGCCCGTTCTACCTGTTTCTCGAGTATCAGCGACATACCTAGAAGATTCCGTCGTTTCGAGCATGATTCGGATGCCACAGACGTGAAGGCCGCTTGATTAGACAGAACCAGCTTAGGAATTTCATAACATTGTCCCCTCCTTAAGAAATAGTTCCTCCTGGAACTAAAACTGAATGGTTGTATTTGCAACTGGACTCTTTTACAATTTTCAGTGGCATGGAAGTAACAAGGGACAGTCTTCGTTATAACCTGAACGCTGGGAGAATGGCTGCAGACTAGTATTTCAACCTGGGTATCTTGAAAGATTACTTCCACCATGTTTCTAATGATCCTCCAATTTAGCTGGTTGCTCTCTATCTTTGGCATATCTAGTTTCTGTATATTGGACTCCAGTACATGCTCCCTCAGACTGAGTAATGCTTCCCATATATCATGATAGATGGATCGATCTCGGAAGATGTTCTTTGTTACCAAATAGAAAAGTTAACGCGATCCATCTTGAAGTTTTAATGCTTTTTCAGGGGCTGGTAACTGATCTTTTCTTTGTCTACTGGGTCCATTTCCACCTGCCAGTATCCAGACTTCAAGTCCAAGATAGAGAATAGTTTACTTTCGGCCGATGTGTTCAAGGTATCGTCGATACGAGGCAGAGGGTAACTGTCTTTCTTGGTAACATTGTTCAACTGACGGTAATCCACACAGAATTTCGTAGTTCCATTCTTTTTCTGAACTAGGACTACCGGGGAGACCCATGGGCTGGTAGAATGTTCTATCACCCTGTCTTCCTTCATTTCCTAAACAATCCTTTCAGCTTCCTCTCTCTTGGCATTTGGTAATCTTCGAACTGATTGATAAATCGGCCTGGCGTCACCAGTGTCAATTTTGTGTTTTACAACAGAAGTTCTTCCTGTTTTTCCTCCTTTTGGTACAAAAATGTTACGATATCGTCGAAGAAATTCTTTTATTTTCTTTTTCTCTAATTGATTCAGAGATTGACCAGCAACTGCAATCATTTGCTCGAATTTGTTGTTGGAATTATCAGAAGTTGTTTGACGAATTATGGAAGTTACTGGTGCACAAGTTCCAATTCTGGTCTCTTTCTTGATTTTAATCGGGTGATCATTAACGTATATGAGACGGACTGGATTTTATTTAGCAGTCGTGACTAATCCCTTTCCGATCAGAATACCTCGTCCAACCTCTTCATCGTGGTTCCAAGGTTCCATCATGACAGGTGTTCCTTCTTCCATAGTTTCTTGAAGCCGTGCTACTATAACGGTTTTACTTCTGCCAGGTACCACCGTATCTTCCTGTACAGCAACTGGCACGGTACTGTCGCCGTGTCGCCATGGATGTAGGAATATCTCTTCGGCACCAACTTTGATCACTCTGTTTTTAAAGTACAAGACGCGACTGGCAGTTCGGCAATTTTCGGAAAATTAGTCGTTAAAAATTAGTCGCTAAGTTCACTTCGGTTTTTCAAGTGGTTATGAAATTAATTTTTTATTGTGCAGATCATCAAAAATTCTCGTTCACTGAAATGAATTTTCCTAAAGTTTATTAGGGGTTTTTTGGTAAGGATATGCATGATTCAGCTTTAAAATAATACTTGTCTTTTGATACAAAAACTGCTGCATTTTCGTTTTTGTAGTGATTTCGAGTGAAAACGTACCAGTATTTCGAAAATATTTCGAAAGATTTTCAAATCACTTATGATTTGCTTTCTGGAGTCAGAAGATATTTATTTATTCTAGAGGAAAACTTTTTTATTATTTCTCTATTTGTAAGATATTGAAAGTAATATTGTTTAATACATCTTATTTAAATATGTAGAAAAACAATTCTCACATTTTCTAGACACGATTTTGGCAACTGAATCTATTTTTCCAATGCGTAAAAAACGTACCTACGTACGTTTACATCGGTAGTGTTTCAAATGACTCTGTTTTACAGGAAAGTATCCGAAATATTTTTCATTTAGTTTCTTAAAATAGCATCCGACTGTAAATTTTCATTCACGTGCAGTTCAATGTTCGTTTAACAAGAACCACGGATTTCATTAAGCCTAGCAATAAAATCATATTATTGCTACGTTCAATAAATATCGAAATGGTATAGCTAGAGAAAAACTTTATGTGGAAACTTATTTAATTACCAAATTCTAGGAAAACTCACGAGTATTTCATCAATTCAGTAAAGAATTTTTGTATAATAATTATGTATGCATTTATTGCTTGTCGTTTACTAAAATTAAAAGCGTTAATCGTTAAGATATTGTAAAAGTTAATTATTTGTATTTCAAGGTACAAAAAGTAAACATTTTCAATAAGTTGCAAGTGAAAATCAATTAATAACAACTTACCGGCACGATTATAGTGTTTAATTTCAGTAGAGGATATAATATGTTCACTTTACTTTAATTCTTTGTCTACTGGGTGTCTGGAAAAAATAATTTTTATTGGATGGTTGGCTATTAATTTTAATTATTATTATTATTATTATTTAGAAACAGTTATTATGGTAAAAATGCCTGTTGGTTGTTGAGCTCCAGACAAGCATTTTCCCAAGCTTCAAATAAGGAACCATCAGTGACAAATCGTAGTGCTTTCAGTTGATCCTTGATATTCGAAAGTAAATAGAAATCACAGGGAAATAGATCGTCATGTCTAATGTCAGCACATCTCGCGGACTTTCGTTATGCCTGTCAATCTGTAAGATTATCAAAGTGTTCATTCACGAGTTTTGGCTTATTTTTTGGCGAAATTGGGACAGTTTACTGAGCAGTTACTGTTCGTATATTGTTCTGAATTGAACTAGATTGCTTTTCAGTTTCGAATAGCCAAATTTTCTTTCTGTTTTTAGTAGATACATCAGTAATACAGACAGGTTCGTCACTTATTAATAGTAAGCAAGCCTACTATCACCATTATTTTAACTTTGTTTTTTTTTTTTTTTTTTTTTCAGATGTTAACTAAGAGTTCTTCACAGAAATAGGAGCAGGGGTAAGACAATTTTTTTCTCTAAATTATTCGAGATAAAAGTTTCTTCTTTTTGTTAAAAAAAATGTATACCTACGTGTAGGTGTGCAATTCCCATATTTGAAATCACCATACAAAGAAAATTAGAATAGCTAGAATGACCTATATTGTTAATTTCGGTGACCTGTTTAACCAATCAATAATTTAATTTTATTCGATAGACCTGAATGTCTACACCCATTTTACATACATGTAAAAAAAAGCTTATAGTATGTATAGTCCTCAAGGTGATCAGAAATAAAAACACAAATAACAATGTATAATGAAATAGATAATTGTTTGTTGTATAAAAGTAATTAATCTTTCCATAACAAATAATACACAGGATGTTTTAGAATGTGAAAGGAGGCATTAATTTTTATTCCTTTTTGCAGATTACTTTTCTAGTTTCCTTTGTAATAATCAAGATAATAAAAAATGTTCTACGCCCTCATGGATATTGGCTATTCTACGCACTGACTACAAAACGTAAAAGGCCATTTCTACCTAGTAAGAACACTGTACGGATATGAAATCCACCAATCACAGTTCATATTTGGTCCCCAGGCGACTATTATTTTTTTAAATTTTAAATAAGTGACAATTCTATTTCTGTTTCAGTATATTTTTTAGTTATTGAGATTAAATGTAATCAAAAATTAGCAATTCTTGTAAAAATTAATAAATAATAGAATTTCAAAAGATATTTGTCTATATTTACAAATAAATTATAAATTTTAATAAAACTATATGAAATCAATTTCCTTGTGAGTATTAAAACTAAAAAATCGTGTTTGTTGATGAATCAATCTAGGATTGAAGACTAATTAAATAAAATCTTTTATTTTAAAAATTAGTAAAAATCATAAATTTTTTTTTGAAATTAGTTATTTTATCTTAATAACATAAAATAAATTATAAAAATTTGTAGATTTTCATTAGTGGGTCGTGAGGGGTACAATAAGCCTAGAGCTTTAGTACGAGTGGGCTTTGAACCACCCCCTATTTCAGATAGATAGTGGGTCGTAGAAAAAATATACTACACAACTCGAGTGGATTGTCCGTATCGCGCTCAAATTTCGTCTTCGTGCGATATGGCCATCATATCCACTCTTGTTACACAAACTACTATTATGATTCGTTTTCGGTTTTTGTTTTTAATGATTAATATATATAAGTTTATTTTGTTTTAAAAAATTAACAATTTGTTCATAAACGACCTTCTTAATGATTTTTTCTATACAACTTAACATACTAATAATAGGCCTTAAATCTGTAGCTTTATTTGCGTTTTTTGTCTTTGGAACATGCATGAAATTTCTAATGACGAATTTATCAAATTTAAAAAGGAAGAAGAGTTAAATTATTTAAATCTGTCAAATCTATAGAGCCCAAGTTACTATTATTAATAGGAAGAACAGTAAAATTATTTAAACCTGTCAAATTTATAGAGCCTATAGTATAAGTCTTGCGACCTTTATAATCCAGTTACAGGGTGTTTTTTCGGGTCGCTACTCAGGAAAATGTAGCAGCCGTTAAAAAACTGGTATTTTGAAATTATACAGAATACTTAAGGCATTCATGAACATTTGAAAGTTCTGTAATTATGTTTACTGTGTGTTTACAACAATCAATAAATTAGAAAAAGATAATAGAAACTTTTTCTACTTCTGCTTAATTTGTTGTAATATACTTAGTTTCCGATTTTATTATTTCATATCATGGCCATCCTAAATTATATTTATCAAATCGTTGTAATGTATGCGAAGAAAAGTGCATAGGGGCAATCGAAATGAAGCGTTTCGAGTTTATTTTTACATGATACGAAACGATATTTTGCGGAAGTAATTCAAGTTTAAAACGCCGTAAACACAGTATAGGTATCGTAAATTTGAGACGACGCGTGTGGTAAAAGAGCACGCGTTCTAGCCCAGAGAGCTGGCAGGGCAGCAGCCAGCGACAGCTTGATATAGAAGGAGAAATAGCAGGAGTATTTTCCTGCATTTGGTAACTAATCAGTCGGAAACGGAACCGACTAAAAAAATGTGATTATGTAGAGTAGAAGTTGTATGGAAGGTGGGGAGTGAAAAAGGGGGCAAGTAACTCGATGCATTTGGCATGTTCAGCGGCGCTCCTTAAAAGGCATGGCTCGCCGGCCACTCAACAGGGCAATTGAGAAGGGGTCCTGGGTCTGCCTTCGCCTCGGTTTGCGCTTCGTGCTCCTGCGGTCCGTGATTTGCGATGGCGATGGCGATGCCGATGTCAGCGGTGCCAACCGTCGGCCGCGGCCGACTTGACTTACCCAGCTGACGTCGTTAGACGTTAGACGCTCGCGATTCGCGATAGCATCCACGCCGTTACACCGCACCGGTCGCAATCGAAATGGATTAGTAGTATACCGGGTAGCACTGAACTAACCTACAAGATTGCCCACCTTATTTTTAATAATCCTGTTAAATGTCATTTTGTCTATAGTTTTATATAGATACGGAAATAAAACATATTTATAACCCATTTACCTCCTTTAAAGAGCAAACGAAGTACACCTAACTAAGCAGGGCCGGTCTAGCTTGATTGGGGGCCCCTGCAGTTGAACGGAAACTTAAATGTACATTATTCGTGAGATTTTAAAAACATTTTTCAAAAAAGTGGCTTCCACTTTACTGGGGAGTACCTATTTCATCCCTTCTTAACCAACCCTAACGGTTGTGGAAGTGAAAGGATCTGTTACTAGTTCAATAGGGTTAAAGAGTTTTAAAATGTATATTTTCATAGTCCAGCTATAAATGCACCGGTTAAAAATTGAACTTGTGTTAATTTTAATCAACTTCTTTTAAGGTTTCATCAAGTTTATTTAAAAGAGAATACAATTTGGTAGAACTTAAAACTATGTTATAGTGTCGACTTATCCAGCGACTTGAACACACATTAAATGTTTGGTGTGAAATTTTTAAAAAATCACTTAATACCCAAGCACAGTTAAATCATCGTTTCCCAAATTGGCCACCAAGATCTCCAAATCTAACACCTCTGGGTTATTTTTTATGGGGCTACCTTAAATCAGAGGTGTACAACAAAGAAATGAATACCCGAGCACAGTTATTGGAAAAAATTAACAATGTATGTAACAACATTAGAAATAAACCGAAAATAATTGACAAATCAGTGAAAAACCTGTTAAAACGTTCGCATAGGTGTATTATGGTAACATGGTAACATGGTGTTCATTTTGAAATTCTACTGTAGTTTTAATTAATTATTTATTTCTGTTATTTTGTTCTCTTACTTTATTAATTAATTTGAGCCCGGTCCTGTGTAGATGTTCAATTTCCTAATGGAAAATGCTGTAGTTAAAAAAAATGAAGATGGTACTTTTTTGTGTAGAGTTTTAAAAGTACAGGGTAAAATATTTGATTTTAATTTTGTAAATACTGATTTATAATAATGTAGTCGCCATTATAAAAATTTATTGTAAGAACATCAAGATGGTGCCATTAAATATTATTACATTATTTTATTTGTTGATCCATGTACTATTTAAATGTGCAGTAACATTTATTAAAATCCGATATACAGGGTGATATTCTAGCTAAGAAGAGCAATATAAAAAAAGAGAGTCCGGTCTTGAAATTTTTTAAAATTAAATTATGGTTTTCATTAACCTAAGAGAGGGTAACTTTTGTACAAAATTTTATCAAAATAACTCTAGCCGTTCAAACAAAATGGCCGATTTTAGTTTTGGCAAAAAGTCATAAAACACCTTATATATCAAAAACGAGTAAGGTTAAAGGCTAAGTATAGGGGTGTTTTGAACTTAGCTAAATGTACTCTACCTCCCATTGAGCTGTGTCCGTTTAAATCTGAAACACCCTGTATATTTTGTGTTTTATTTATTAGATATCCCTACTAATTTTAAATGGATGGCCTAAATAAAGGGTCATCATCCAAAAATATTGCGGTTCGTGTAACATAGCAAACATCCGTATATGGCCCGAAAAATAAAAAGGTTGATTAAGGCAGGTCTAGAGGAAAGGGCACATGTCTAGTAAACAAGCATGTCCGGGTTCTATCCCCTGTTGCAACAGGCTTTTTTTTTAAATCTCCTTTGGGGTTCAAAGATGGTCTTAATAATTCGTAGGAGGATTTTATTTATTTTTCGGTTCCTCACCCTGTATGATTTTATAAATAAAAAAAACAAACAAGTTTGGTTCAGTAAGAAACGACATAAATTTAATAAAACGCCTTTATAATTAAAAACAAATTAATTATTGAGATACATCGTTAAAAGTTTATTCTATTCCATTATTCATTTTAAATTTTGTCATTTTCACCCTCCAGGAAGTGCTAAAAAGTCTCCGCAACAAAAGAGCTCCCGACCCGGATGGTATTAGCAATGTATCACTAAAAAAAACCTAAGCAAGAAAACCATTGTATTATAAATGCTATCCTGATGCTACAAGACTATCCAGGCTATCAAGATGATTGCAAATGTCAAATCAATAAAGAAAAGTAAATAATGCGTTGTTGTATCGAATAGCGTTTCTTTTTTAAGGGTATGGTTCGTTATTAACCAAAATATCGGTTACTCGATCCAAAACTAACCGCTCTGCTTGACATTCCTGAAAAATCGGTTAATTTACGGACGCGGTTACCTGAAAATGGTGACTCAAACGTCAATCTGTCACAAAAGTGACGTAAATCTCGACCGTGGTCCAAATGTAACCAAGAAATTAGTTATTTTCAGGAACCGCTGTCAAAAATCCTGGTTACTTGCGGTTTGTAGTCGGTTAATAACGGACCATACCCTGTCTAAATTTGAACTGTCATAATGGTTTGACTGTCAAAGCACAGCAGCAGACATTACGGCAACTTTAAATTATCCGCTATTTATTGAGATTAGGTTTGTTCCAACAGCGCCTTTCTGATGTGTCTCTGACTCGTGCATGGATGCATTCGTAAACTAATCACTGCGCATGTCAGTCCGT